GGATGAGGTTAATGCAAAGTAGTGAGAATTGGGAAAAAAAAACACAGTGGGTAATTAACTTTCTGCAGCGTGAGGAAGACAGAAGAAGAGACGAGCAGATCAGACAGAGAGCAGAGAGGCCAGTGGTGTCAGTGGTTAAAGGGTGACTGATCAGACTTTAGCGGCTGCTCATTCATGATGAGTCTCATAAGATACTAAACAGTCAGTCGCTGTCAGCGAGAGCTTATAGTAACATTCACAAGGTCAGAGAGTTTGTGTTGGTGACGACGCATCGCTGCTTACTCAGATTTCTGACTACCTCTGACTTCTGGCCATTTTGGATGAACTGAAAGTGACTGATGGCCTTCAAACAGTGGGATGCTCTTTGAAAGAGGAGCACAAACTGCAGAAATAATTCGTCTGTAAAACACAAACATATACACATGCACCTCTACCCTTACCTATAGAAAAACACTGAGTCACTAAAGTTGCAGATATGCCTGCACTTCAGGCTTCTTTCTTTTTTTTCCTTCTTTTTTTTTTGCTTTGTTTTATTTCAGGGGCACAAACGGTGCAGGAGAATTGGATTTCCATACATGGAACAGACATATTGAGAAAAAACACTGTCTCTCTCACATCCCCAGAATCAAGGCCGCAGTAACCTCCCACATGCTACCCACACAACCTCGAGATGATTTTATGACTGCGCTGCCTCCTCCCCACCATGCTCGATACATCAAAGTTAACACTGACAAGAGACACTTCAAATTCACTGTATGATTTATGGATCCACTTTTGGCCTTTTTGAATGAGTAAGCAATGTTAACTCGCATCCCACCACCACTCCTGTGAACTCTCTGTCTGGGAAAATGTTGCTGCTCAGTGAAATAAACTTAACAGAACTTTGTTAAAACATACTATATAAGCTGTTAATAATGGCTATCGTTTATTAATGCTTCGTTTCCTGGCTAATGCACACAATTAACGACCTCTTTATAAAACCTGCCTTATTACAAATAATACAAAATAACTAAGGGGAATGATAGGACTTTGTGTTTGATTGTTTTAATGCTGGAGCCTGTGTATCCCTCACACAGATTTCATGTACTAACTGTGTTTGTGTGCCAGAGTTGTTGTGCATTTCTTAATGAGGACAGGGACACTGAACTCTGCTGAGGACATGTAGTATATTTAGAGTGCATTTGATAACAATGACATTGAACAAGAGGCATTTCAGGGTGGCAGAGGACTTTTTAACCCAACAGCAATGGCAGTGCTGTTGCTGTTGTGGAATCATTTAAGGCTGCATATCCAGCGAGACACTCGCAACTTCTTTTTCTGGTTACCGTCAATAGTAAGAATGGCTGTCTCTGGTGAGAGAGAACATTTTATTCAAAAAAAGAGTCAACAAAACAATATCTGAAAGAGACTTTCTGTGAGCCACATCAGCTCTAACCAGTATTTCCCATGTGAATCTCAGCTGCGCTAAAGCAGAGCAGCATGGTGGAGTGAAGTGCCTGAGTGGCACCAGTGACATTGAACTGCGGACATTCAGAATAATGGAGAGAAGAGGGGCGCTAAGCTTTGAGCGTACCATGTGAGATGATGGCACTAAGTCCTGAGGTAAGAAAAATAATACTGTTACATAAGCTTACTGTTTCTGTGTCCCCTGGGGTGAGCTCTGTTCTCTTCTCCATAACTGTCACTCTAAGGGTGTGCATATGTGTGTGTGTGTGGTGACCAAGACCCCAGCAGGGACATCAGAGCATGTTAGAATTCATCAACACAAGTGTAAAAAAGGGGACATATAAGTACACATACATGTACGTGCACATAATGTGTTGACACTCACCCTGCCCTTTTTCTCTCCTATGTAGCATAAAATCTGAGTCAGTCCAAACAATCTGAATCATCACACCTTAAGTCTTTTTGAGGGTCGGGACTTTTTACATTATAAAAATCTACAAAAAAAAAAAAAACAACAACAAAAAAAAAACCATCCACCCCTTCTCATTACAGGATGAATAAATCTGAGAAAGCTTTAAAAAGTTAAGCTGTAAGTATTAGAATTTTGTCAGCCAAGAGTTAAATCACATGCGGAGCAGTCTATAATATGTGACTAAAACTCCATCCATCCAGGTGAGACAATTTTATATTTAGTCCAAATTTAGTCCAAATCACCATACACCCCAAATATATATATATATATATATAAAATCAAATATATTGATTTGTAATGTGTCATGACAGCCCACAATCAAAATTTAAGGCTTTTAAGACTTTTACAAAGCTGCATATGTTTAAACTGAGTGTTCGATACCCAGCAGGTTGTTACCATATCAAACACAATATGACGTCAGGAACACATGTTTATATTCAACACGTTCAATACTCTACCCTACATACGGTGCAACAAAATAAATCAATAAGCAGCGTCCATTAACATTAAATGAACAAGCAGGATACGGGAAAATGTTTCGTACCTCATCTGTTATCTGTCCTCCAAATGTCACCCATGTACCTGCAGGGAAGAGAGAGACAGAGATTTCAGTTATAGGAAACATTTCTATCCCATCAGTCCTTTCTATCAGTGTCTGTGTTAGTGTGTGTGCTTGACATCCCGAGGTAAATGCTACTAATCCCTGGCTGTGACATCAGTCAAGGGAGGCTGTCAAGTTCCCAGGAGAAAAATCTGCCCAGCTCAATACTCAAGGATCACCTTGTGTGAATGCCTGTTAGTACTTCCTGTCTTCACTGGTGACTGTTACGGTCATGCGTGTTTGGAAGACCTTGTGTCCTCTGTCCTTGTGTGTGTGTGTGTATGTGGATAATGAGTGCGCATGTGTGTACATCTGACTACATGCTCCTGATTGCCCTGCAAACAATGCTGATAAGCCAGACAAAAGGCTAAGCCACCCCTACCAGAGGAGACACTAAATCCTCTGCACATTTCCTCACTGAATTATGCATGTAGCTTTGTTGTGGCAGAAAACGCTTCCCATTCAGATTATGTCAAAACAGTTTTAGCTATCTAAAACTGTCCTGCTATGCCAGACACAGAGAGAGAGAGAGAGAGAGAGAGAGCAAGAGAGAGAGAGAGAGAGAGCGAGCGAGAGAGAGAGACTTTTTATATTAAAAAAACAAATTCTTTAAATACTGCATGGCTTGTGTGTGTACTGGGAGCAGTTACAAATTCAGGGCTGTCTGACAAGATACGAGACAGTTTGTGTTAGTGTCGTAGTGCGTTTGAAATTTAGCAGGGGAGGACCAGGAAAACTACATTTTTTTTCCTCATTTGGGAGGATTATGTTCCTTACTTTTCAAAATCCTTTTTTGTCCCCATCATGTTAAATGTTTAAGGTTTATTTTCAAGTATTGCAACTTCTGTGGCTGTAAAACGCTGAAAACTTTGAGCAATTCAAAATACCCCAGAATAACTATGTATCATCAGAATTTCATTCATTTGGTCCAATAAACCTTTGAAAAGTCTAGATGAGCTGTCTCATTAAATTATTTTATCCCATTCCTGTGTGCCAGCAGCATACAGGAAGCCAGCTGGAAGCCTCAAACTAATATATATATATATATATGTCTTTATCTCCCCTAAAACCCCTGTGAACCCCTCCCCTTCGAAGGCCAAACTTAAAACAAAGCTAATTAATATATGAACTTAACATTTTAACATCTAAACAAATACACTGCATAAACTGCAATACATATTATCAGAAAGTTGGGGTGTCCACCCCTCTCATATGAAACAAAGAAATGCACTCTTTGGTCCCTCCTCTTCCCCTCTGCCATAGTTGGACAGGTCATCAGGTATACGGGGACAAGTCCCAGTGGGCTGGAGCATAAGTGTACCAGTGGACCGTCAAAAAATGCATTAAGTTTTCATAAAGTTTTTACTGATCCTCTCATTTAGGGTGCGCAGGAGAGCGTGCCGTGTGCGTGTGCTGCTCTCACAACCAAGTTTCAACCCTCACCTAACATTACTTTGAATAAATTTAACCTCAGCATAGGTCAGTTGTTGACATGTTGGCAAATCTGCATGGATTGGGAAATAATGTATACCAACACGTTTACGTTGACACCATTCTACACCCAGTCAGAGAGACAGGGAAGATGTCGTCGTGGCAGGAACAGAGGATGAGCCACAAGGTCGAGGAACACGAGGGAGAGCAGCATCACTACAGTGACTCACTATCGCCTCTTGAGGTACAAAGTGGTATTACAAGACGGGATGGGCTGTGGCTAGTTAGTTAGCGTGCTAACTTCTGTAGATATATCAGCAGCACAATACAGACATCTTTGGCATAAAACCATTACTTCTTCACATTCTGTTGATGATCTTAGTCAGTTCTTTAATGTTTTAAACTAAAGTACTTACATATACCATCTTCAAGGAACAGATTTGTGATTTCATAAATAAAATTGACTATTTCAAATAGCAAACTTTGTTAATCAAGTACAAGAACTCCTAGTAAGAGTATTAATTTAAAATAGAATGGAGGAAAATAATACAACCGCTCCAACAAATTAAGTATTCTCTTTTTGGGGGTTATTACTATTTATTAATAATTAATTATTATTAATTCCCTTCAGGCCTTCAGACTCTCCTCCTCTCCTTCCTCTCTACTTTCTGTTTTATCTCCCTGTTGAATCTTTTGTTTTTCTCTCACCCATCCAGTGCCCATAATTTCACACAGAATGAACCGACAATTTTACTTCTGACTCTCTCGACCTCCATTCCTCACCAATTATGAAACAACTGAGATACCTCAGAGATAAGGGACAATGAACAAGCACTTAACCATCTGCTAATCGTGACTGACAGGATGCTACCATACAGCAGAGCTCATTATTCCATACACTGTAATACCATCAACTCCACTGAGGTTCAGCTTACAAATGACAACCAGAGGATAAATTGGATGTGTCGGTGCATAATGATATTATATTCATTTAATAAGATGCAATAAGGCTGCAGTTTTTCAGAGGTAGGACAGAAGGGTGGGGGGGTTTCTTGCCTGTGTATGTGTTAGTGAGTGCATACATCCATGTGAGTGTGTGTGCGTCCAATCAGCCCTTTAAGCTGTCTCGTCGTGGAAACGTAATCACAGCGGACGATGTCCAGTTGCAGCTCTGAGCTTTATGTGTGTGTGAGCGAGAGGCACAGCATGGGATGAATACCCTGCAGAGCTCTAATGTCAAGGCCACCGCTCTTATGCTGTAGGTTCAACTGAGTTTTTCTGTTTGTTGGAAATTAATGTCCTGCCAAAGACAAACTGCTCTTTGCTTTTTCTTTTTTGACCGGCAGCTGCTGATGGGAAGTGCCGGAAGTGGCACTTGATGTTGCTATGCAACAATAGTAAATCTGATAACCACGCAGTGCTTGTTCCTAAAGCTGAGAGGTGCTCAAGTCAACGGGCGAACCCACACTAACTACTCATAAAGCAAAGAGAGAGTCTCTAGCATTCATATTAATGGCACATGAACATATCAAAAAGGTCCTTGTTTGACAAGATTCAAAGTTAAAATCACTTCACTGTCTTCTCCCATTTATGATGATATTTCTGCCTTCATCTACACACGTCAAGCACTTAACCTGACAGGTGAAAAGAGACGAGACGAAACTGACAAGAGTTCAACTGTACAGGGAAGTACAGGGAAGAACAGTTGCAGTGAAATAAAAGTCAAGGAAAATGAGGAGAATAATGAGCGAGAGGATGATGAGACAGTGTTGTGAATTTGGCAAGAGGTGTCATTTATTCATTCATCTTTGCACAAGTCCTTTTAACCTGGATCTTGAAATTTGAATCCAGTCCTGTGCCTGGCAGTGTGATAGATGGCACACATTTAGATGAAACATTTCTCTGTGGTGTCTCAGTTTAACTGACCTCCTCATTCTCTTTCTCAGCACTTTCCAGCTCGTCTGCCTACAGATAGAAAGGCTGAGTCATAATTTTTTTTTTTTTTTTTCCCCAGCTCCAATAAAATGTTGCAGTACATCTCTGAACTGGTTATGCTTCCAAAGTATAGTTTTATCAAGACAAGACACACGAAAAGGCAAATTAGAGTTTGACTGCACCTTCTCCTAACAGACACATTTCTGAACAATTGAAGAACCTCTATTTGACAGCTGACAGATTTCAGCCAGGAACCGTTCGCCACTTGTCTATTGACTGATTTTATACTAACCACGGACATTTTAGTTACACAGTAACCTATGTGTCCAAACAACTACACCACCAGGATGCCCAAATTTTCTTAAATTAAAGTATGTTGTGCAGGAACCCATTTAAATCTCTCTGGGGGGAAGAAAAGTCCCATAAGGTTTTGTACCCGCTCTGTTCTTTTGAAAGGATCAGAGCAATTTCAATCTATTGTCATTTTCTAGAAGGTAGAATGATGGTTGTCATTGCCCTGTGTGTGTTTGCTTTTCCCAGTGTGAGTGTATGTGTGTGTGTTGAAGTTTGAAGATGCATGGAACCTCTTATTTTTTGCAGAGTATATACACACAAACACAAACTTTCTCACACACACATTCCTTTGCTCCTATTTTCAGTCGTGTTATATGCCCATGTCTCCTGTACTGCCTCTTCAAGTTCTATCGATTTCTTCAAAACATTCGCCATCGTCTCCTGTTGTATCTGTAACTGTTTGTCTACTCTTTCTGCTACAGACCTGCTTACAGGGGGCGGATAAAACAGCACAAACACCTTACAATGCAACAAAGTATAAAAATAATGTTTCTGAAAACAGCGCAAACTGTGGCCTCAGAAGTGACCACCGCATTGAATCAGCAGCTTTTTAACAACATCTCAAAAGAAGCTGAAGATTATCAGCTTGAATATTGTTTTGTGGCGCTTTTGCATAACATCAGATTTTTATCAGAGGTGTATACACATGCTGCACAATTCTGTTGTAAAATGATCAACCACAGTAACTAAAGCTTGACTGAGAATCAAATGCACCTTGCTGTGATATCATTAACAGAGTTCAATTGTAAAACTGATTGAGGTTAGATGTTGGGAGAGGAGTTTCTGCTTCAGCTGCAGAGGAGAGGTAAGAATCTATGAAGGTGAAAATGACAAACAACTTGAACTTTTGCGGGTGAAAGAGCAGTCAGTGAAGAGAAACATGACTGAGGTTGTCTGATCTCCTTAGTGCTGTGAATGTATGTAAAAGGCCTTTAGGATGCTGAACCACACAGCTGCAGATTTTAAAGGAACAGGTTAAAGTGCAAGACAGAGCAGGAAACAGATAAGAGTAAAGGAAGTGCAGCAGACGTAGAGGGAGAGAGACTATCTTGGTCTGCTCTATCTGTCCGGCTGCCTTCCTCTGTGCACAGCAGGGCTGCAGGATTTGCTGGGAGAACCATTTCAAGATTCATCAATTGTGCCGCATCAGCGCAGCAAGCATTCAGGAAAAAATATGGACCTGGACAGACTGGCATGAGTGAGAGGATGGGAACAAAAATTATGGCTTCAGACAGATAATGCTGATCATGAACTTTTGCAT